TTGATTTCAACGTGTTTAGTTGAGAGAATAGTTCACGATAAAGATGATTCCCAGAAGAACCCATGGTGACCCTCAAGCATAGCACGAGGGACGCTGTCGGCTCAAATACGCTCTAAATAGTGCGTCGAAGGTCATAAACCCTTCCTAGCCGACTTACAGACCGAGGGCAGACCACTGTCACGCCGTTGGAAAGCCTGTAGAGAAAGCACCCCACTCACACTGGGCACACGCTGCACGCAGACAGCTTACTGTGAGTTGTACGCAATGGCACACACATTTGGACTGCTCATCCGAAGACCCCTTCCAAGCAACTTTTGTCGTCACATACTCGTCAAACCTCCAACTTTTCGAAGTCACATATTTCTCTGAATGCACCTATTTTTGCGTTCACTTCGCCCCTTTTGCACTATTCTGGACTATCACTTCCATTGTTCTTCGTACATGCCAGCAGGAATGAATTTGATTGTAATGCTACTGACCGTATGAGTATTTTGCCGAACTCAGGATGTCGCCTACATTGAAATCGTTTACAACGATAGCTCACATATACACATGCCATTCAAAGGCACGGTCCACGACAAAAATGATTACTGCCCTTAGGAATACTCAGTGGCTCCAGGGCTAAACGAAAGGACCCTCTCGCGCTCAAAAACTCGATGGTTAGGGCATAGTGGAAGCCATGTTACCGGCTCGCGCAACCTTCCCTCCCCTCGATCGATGTAACGTCAGACGAGTGTCGAGGCGATCATATTGCAATAATTCGTTCTAGGACCCCCACACAATCAGCTATTCGCCGAGTGATGTGGCCATGTTTTTCTCGCATTCTTTTTTCCTCTGTTATTCTTGTTACTGCCTCGATCCCTCACTTAATTTTCTAGCTCAAGGGGCTGAAAAAGGTGAGCTATTTTTGCTGTAGGGTTTTTTTGTTTACATACGCTTATAAGTGAATGAATTTTTGCTTACCAAACGTCCCAGTTTTCGTCATTTTTCTGGTCTCATCCTCGTCCAGCCCCCTTTTAAACAATTTTTCGAAGCCTTTTTTCCCTTTGGAAACACCGGTTCACGCTGTTTCCTCTCCTTCATTACACTATTTTCCATCTTATTTCCATTATTCGTCATAATCTAGATTACCTAAAATTATCGTGAACTGTGCCTTTACGAGTGATCAAAAGCTTAATCTACTTCTCAACCTTAATCACAATTTTTCAGCAAAGCCTTTATGATAGACATTAAAGGGATGTACATATTTACAAAATTAGATTTGAAAAAAATTAGCGGGCGGAGCTTGATATAAAGAAATTATGAGGTGATCTGATTCAGTGCGCAATTAACGAAACCGAACCGAAACATTGGTGAAATCATTTAAAGGCGCAGTTCACAATGAAAAGGTTCCTCAGATTTCCCCCAGGTTTACCCAATGGCCCACAAGGGAACAGAAAGGACGCTGTAGGGCCCAAAACTCGAGAGCTAGGGTATAATAGGAGCCCCGTCACCGGATCGCCCCTGACTCGCCCATCGACCGATGTTGTGTTAGAAGAGTGTGCAATATAGACTGAGCGGTTAGCCACAAGGAATCGCATGCAATCAGCTGATCGCCGTAATGTTTTACTTTTATTGTGTTATTCCCTGTCAATCAACTTACTACTGCCGTCCATATCCTGTTTTCTACCTCATGAGGATGAAAAAGGTAGGTCTTTTTGCCGTTGATAGTGTTTTTGTTAGATCATATTAATGAGTGAATGAATTTTCAAAGGCAATTTTTGCTCACTGCAGTCAGCTACTCGCACCAGGACCCACACGTACGCAGTGACATACACTATACTGCTTGTCCAAATACCCCTTCTACTTCATATTTTTGGCCTTATTCACGTTGAGCCTTTTCTAACGTCTTTTCAGAAGCTTTTTTTCACATTGAAACTTTCTTCACCTCCATCGTACTATTTCGTACCTAATCTTCCATTTTCTGTCATTATCTGAATAACTCAAAACTATTGTGGACCATGTCTTTAAAAAGCAGCTCATAAATTAGGCATCACTACCGGTACGAAATGTGCTTTGACTGAGAACTCATGTGGACGCTCGGTACTATTCTACTATTACACTCCCAAAAACTCAAAATTTTAATTTCGGATGAAACTTCGCCTATAGGGGTAATCTGATGCCCTGATAACTAATATGACCTTTACTTTGGCGCTGGCGCCAATTGGCGTCAATTTGGCGCCAAGGGTGTTTTCACCAAATTTGCTGAAAACTTGCGTTTAAGGATTATTTGAGGTCCTGATAACGAATATGACATTCATTTTTGGCGCCAACGCCGAGAATGAAGGTCATATTCCTTATCAGGGCATCGGATTACTCCTATAGGCGAAGTTTCATCGACAATCAAAATTTTGAGTTTTTGGGGGTGTAACAGTAGAATAGTTCTGGGGGTGTAATAGTAGAATAGTACCGGACGCTCTTCTTACGTCGTACTTCTCACAGCGTTAAAAGTGCCGAGAGGAGCAAAGCACAGGCATTGCTGGAACCCACAGAAGCATACCATTGTATCACACCTTTCGTCAAGTGTGGCTGTGTTAGTGTCGATTTGTAGATTTTCGTCAGATTTACTCCATATTAGCAACCCCAACAAATGCCCGATATTGGATGGAATTTCAACGCTAAATCAAGGAATGTACATGATTACGCGGTATTAGAACTTAATCGAGCGCTTCCCCAATGTCATGCAATCGGACTTTTTCTTGCTGACTCCGGAGAACATATTCTTTCCCAGAACTCGTTTTTGCAAAAATCTATAATGCATATATTCACGTGCTTAAGGAGACGTAGCAAATGGATATACATATGCCTTATAGGCTTATAGGCGCACTATCACACATGATAAAGGGTTCGAGTCGCGGATCGATGCTCGCCCAGGCCATCCATCCCTCCGGGATCGGTCAAACGGTAACATATTTGAAAGTGTAAAAGCACTGACTTCTATATCGGCTGTCTATCACGTATGTACAACGAACAACGTGCCGGCATGTATGATTCCCGCATTCAGCACTGCAGTGCAAGGTCAAACTAGGGCAGTTACCTCAATCAGATGATTGAGGGAATGCGACACTCATTGAAAAGTGTACGTCTCAGCCTTCCTATCTGTTCAGATATCTATTGTTTGGCTTAGTTTCTTGATGTTTTGAAACAAGTGCACGGTGCCGGATAGCACACAAGTAGGGATTCGAGTCCCGTCCGAGGCCGAGGTTTTGTTCATAACTCGCCAACCTTGTGGGCCGTTCCAGATACTTTTCAAACGACACGTTCTTCAAATCTTCATATTTTGAAAATATGACCTTGAACAAGCGCCTGGTGGTTACCATTACGAGTGCGACACTGAAGAGATCTACTTCAGATGTTTCGAGGTCTCCGATACTTCTTGCAAGACTTGATAAACTTCTTTGATGAGCTCTTTGTTTACTGTGCAAAGTTACGGTAAGTTTGCTTCAAAATTTTATACATTTATACATCGTAAATGATGATTTCCTGCTTAACCTGTCCAGCTTAGTTGGGACGTGAGTCTCTTAGTCACCGACGCCCCCCGCATCCGGCTCAGGAAGTTTCCGCTAGCTTGCATCCTGGAAGGTGGAAAAGCAATATTCGCGACAAAAGCCAACAGAAATTTGGCTCAGAAAAAAAAANAAAAAAAAAACGTGCCTCTAAGTTTTGCTAGAGTGGTAGATCTGCATTTCGTCGCTCGTGTGCTGAATATTTGCTGAGCTATCAGGTGAAGAGGCGTGTTCCTGCTGTACATTATCCATCCCAACGTGGGTGTTACGCAACCTCCTGGCCGCCCTGAACAACCTGCAATAGTAAGTAACGAACCTAATATGTCGCAATAGGTTAACCTTGCAATAGGCTTGCGCCGCGACTCATATCCATTTCTGTAAAAGTGAAGCAGCATTTCATCTCGCTCTGTCCCACCTGAACATACTGTTTGAACACCTGAAGATGAGTGGATAGAATCTAGCTAACCGGCCGCTTCACTGCAGCGCACTTTATCTGCTATTTTCATCCACAGTTCTTTCGGATTCAAACAAGCGAGCCGTTCATCCTTCGTTATTTCTTGGCATGACTAAATACGGGTAATATGTATGTACATTATAAGAATGACGCGAAACGACTGATAGCGTCTAATTCTTTTACCTTATAGACCATCCGGGTCACTTGGTCCTCCACGCTTTTCCTAGGAAGGCACACGTGTGGCAGGAGTATCGGGTCACCAACAAGGTTTGACCCGTTCATGACCTGAACTATCATACCCATAAAGAACGCAAATGAAATAAAATGTCGTGTAAATGTCAACCACCGCCACGCTCGTTGTTCTGCCATTTCGTTTGCACCCACTGCAGCTGTACACTAGATGTCCTCGGGATGTCTTGCGCAGGTATTCAAACGAGTAGCACAGGGACCCGCCTAGAAGAAAACCATGAAACAAGTCAAGCGAACACATCAAGTTTTGTAATGTGCTGTTCTCGTTACTGACCCGGAATTGGGTACCGTATGACCGGATGGATACCGCGCTTACTCGCCTCTGCAACGCCTCGAAAAAGCTCCCCATCAAGACGCACTCGTCGGTGGCGACGCGGCTCATCTTTTGTATTACAAACTAAAGGCATTAACAGTGATCCAATGACTCCTTAGAAACGATGAGCGGAACAGGCACGTGTTCTGAATTACCTCCCTCCGAAGAAGCAGAATCCGTTTTCGATGTCTGTGTAGCAACCATGGCTAAAACTAAATCTGAGTTTGACGGAGACTTAGATTCGTCGCTTGTATGCTGGATATTTGCTGAGATATCAGGTGACGAGGCGTGCTCCTGCGGTACAATATCCATTTCAACGTGGGTGTTACGCAACCTCCTGACCGCTCTGAAATTTGCAATTGCATGTGACGAACTTAACATTACATGTCACACTAGTTCAACCTTGCAATAGGCTGGCGCCGCGACTCATACCCTTTTCTGTAAAAGTGAAGCAGCATTTCGTCTCGCTCTGCCTCACCTGAAAATACTGCTTGAACACCTGAAGTTGAGTGGATAGAATCTAGCTAACCGGCCGCTTCATTGCAGTGCACTTTATCGGCTATGTTCATCCACAGTTCTTTCGGCTTCAAATGAGCAAGCCGTTTATCCTTTGCTATTTCTTGGCATGACTAAATACGTGTAAAAAGTACTTTTAAGAATGATGCGAAACGGCTCATAGGTTCCAATCCTCTTACCTTATAAACCATCCGGGTCACTTGATCTTGCACATTTTTCCTTGGAAGGCACACGTGTGGCAGTAGTACCGGGTCACCAACAAGGTTTGACCCATTCACGACCTGAACTATCATACCCATAAAAAAAACGCAAATAAAATGTCGTGTAAATTTTAACTACCGCCACGCTCGTTGTTCTGCCATCTCGTTTGCATCCACTGCAACTGTACACTAGGTGTCCTCGGGATGTCTTGCGCAGGTATTCAAACGAGTAGCACAGGGACCCACCTAGAAGAAAACCGTGAAACAAGTCAAGCGAACACATCAAGTTTTGTAATGTGCTGTTCTCTTTGCTGACCCGGAATTGGATACCGTATGACCGGATGAATACCGCGCTTGCTCGCCTCAGCAACGCCTCGAAAAAGCTCCCCATCAAGACGCACTCGTCGGTGGCGACGCGGTTTATCTTTTCCACTACGAACTAAAAGTAATATCAGTGAGTCACAGAATCTTTGGGAACGATGAGGGAACAGGCACAAGTTCTGAATTACCTTCCTCCGAGGAAGCAGGAACCGATTCCGATGTCTCAGTAGAAACCACGGCTGAAACATAATCTGAGTTTACCAAAAAGGTAGTTGCAACAAACTTTTCACAGCGGCTCACCCGACGCTTCAACTCCCTGTTCACTGTTGTCTTTATCAGAAGCAGACGTTAGCATAGTCGCTGATAATAGAATTGCGTTGCAGTTGGTAACTAACTAACCCATGGATACTTTTATACTTTACTTTCGTCCGGTGACACAGATATGTCTTACGTGCAACCATCACATTCTTGCACTCATGAAGGCCATATGCTCATCTTTTATTGCAACAACAAACAAACCAATTAGTCAACAACTTCATCCACTAACTGTAAACTTTTTTCGATGATTGTAAACGAAGCATTGGGTGATTTCAAAGCAATATTGGAACAAATGCAATGGTCTCGAAGCTCATTAAATGCGTTGAACAACTGCAAACCCTAACCACAGAGTAAACCACATTACATTATTTTTCAATATGAAGTTGACTGGATTAATGGGAATGGTTAACTTTGTAGTCTGAAACAACAGAAAAACAAAGATTCCCGCTGAAGCTATCGAACTCAGAAGTTTCTCTTTAGGAATTTTGAATAGATATGAAGGAAAAGAACAAGAGAAAAGGAGAAAGCACTACGACATCGACTTCTTTGCAATGCACTAAGAGTGACAAAAATTGTGTAGATTCATAGAGCAGCGCCCAGTCAACCTACTCAGTAACCAGCTCACCAACCGCAAATTGAAGGAATTTCAGCCAAATAAGAAAAAGCGAAAGAAACTAAAAAGGAAGTGAAATGATAGGGTGACTATGAAAACACGAAAAAAACATGAAACAGAAAGAAATACCAGGGACAGAGAGGAACAAAACGTACCTCAACTAATCAGCGAGAGGAAAAAAAANAAAAAAAATAGGAATTTGAAGAAAACCTAGAAGAACAATATAAAACAAAGCAAGAAAGAATTATAATGGAAATAGAACGGTATCATATGGAAAAATGTATAACAAGAAATTAGAGTGAAGTATAAACAAATCTTAATCGCAGAGCAATTCACTTAACCATCTTCCGAGTGCGCTTAAACGAAATAGAACCCTTTAAAAAGGCAATATCAATCAGATGCAACAAAAACTAGGCAAAAACCACAGAATCGCACTATAATAAACATGAAGGGATTGAATGTGCACAAGAAACTCACGAGCCAGCGAACTGTCGAACTGGGATATGAAGACTGCTCTCTTCTCAGATCTTTGGCAACGATGTTATCGAAAGTTATCTTGCAGTAGACGGGTATGGCTCTTCTTTGACAGGAGCGAAACGTCTTACACTAAGGTATTTAGAACCTTCTACACAGAAGTGGAATGACCATTACTGTCCTTCGAGATAGCAAACACTGCAGCGTAGAAGATAATGACGTGTCCGAAACAACCAGAAAGACCGGATCATCCTTATGCAAGGACATATCGACATAGAATGTTCAATAAGGCTCATGTTTTGTAAAAGATCCATACATTTCAACATACTTATTTATCTCACAGCCACTAAATCGTATCCTAATTGATAGTGCAGCGAAAAGCATAATTTACCTCACAGTTCAACAATTGGAGTAATCGTACCAAACAACTATTACGCTCCTTCTGAAAACACTCTGATTCGGCTAATACAAACCAATTGAGTTGAACTGTGAAAAGGACTGCAGAAGTTAAATAAATGACTATTTATCAGAGTAATGAGCGAGTATATTACATCGGTGCTGCTATAATGCATTTGACAGAGCCACCGGGAAAATTACGACTATGAAAGTGTCATGAAATTCAGTAAAGAGCAACAGCGAGGGATTATATGCGTATCAACAATTAAACAAGTAACATATGTATAAATACATTATAAACTTAAATGGCCTGTATAGATGCGAGCGGGAGGAGAGCTGAGGAAGCGAACAAAGGCACATGCTGATGTTATAGGGGGGAAACCGCTATTAAAGCCCATGGAAAGCTGGAAGAAAAAGGAACAGCAAAGCGACTGCAGCAAATTAACAGAACCAAATTTCAACAATAACAAGATTGATAATTTCTAAAAAGAGGAGAAGATAAGAAAAGAAAGTAGATAAAATGCAACATAGAAGAATAATATGACAACAAATTTGTTAAGATAAACAATCTGTTATACTGTTTCGCCTTAATTAGACGGGATCAGTTCAGAAAAAAATCCAATTAAAAAGGCATTCTATGAAAATCCTTAGTGCCATAGGACCTAGGACTGACGGGCATGGTCCAGGAAGAATCCAAGCCTGATGGGAGAGAGAACGAAATAAAAAGGTCGGACCCCACTATCTTTGTTCTGCTCCTCCTTAGAAAAGACGCCGACAAAGAGGGAAAATAGGAAGAAAGGAGGAGCACAAACAATGTAATCACGAAACCATTACATATCACATTAGTAAAGCTATCGTGAGCTAACGCTCAGTCGAAACTTCAACGGTGCACTCATTTACAATTACTTAAACGAGGGATAAGCCACGACGGTTCGGCACCAATTCGAGACAGAATCCGCTCATAGAGCGGTCCGCCGACCTTCGATTGCAGTTCCTCCGTGTATTCGGTTTCACATCGACGGCGCCTTGCCAGCCTAAACCCTATGACACATAACATACAACTTTTGACACTTTTGAAGCAACAGCTTTTTTCCACGACTGATGAATAAGTTCTATTTTCCCACCATTCTTGTCGTAACTTTGAAAAATTATGCGAATTGGGTATATAATGCCAATAAGAGCTGAGGGAGCAGTTTTTATGATGAAGTTATAAGTACTGCTCCGCCCTTTACGAAAAGATTGTACTTTCCGTGACAGGTCAGCCTGTATTACTTCCGAAAAAACAGGGACCATCAAGATTCACTTTATCGCAAAAATCTCACCCATACACCATTTTCTGATTAACTTTAATGTGGTAAGCACTTGAACAAGTAGGAAACCTAGGAATAGGCAGGTAAGAATAAGGAAACAGCCAATTTCAACAAAACAGAAAGGCTAACCTCTCCATGTAATCGAGTATAAATCGCTCCACAAAAACTTTTTCATATAGAAATGAGACCACAGCGTTGATGCTGGCGTAGAGCACCAGAAGACAGCGAAACTCTGCTGATGGCAAATCCATATTGCCCATGAAGTCAAGCAACCACGGCGGAGACCATAAAATTATGACAAGGGAAAACTGAAAAAAAAGTCATATACAAAAGAGAGAAACATCGTGAGGAACAGTGTTGAAGAAAAACACACTGCACGATCTCTTAAAATTCGAATTTCCTGAGAAAAGTCGTGGACAACTTGGTCAGATTCAGAATCTGAGAATCATGAGCCAAGAACTAGGCCAACTGCAGAGCTGATTGAGTGCACTACTGCGCGCTGAAACGGGCGTCGCGTTCTGGCTGGCTCACTTTGGCAATACGAAGGCGCCGTGTCACTAACCAAAAAACTGCCGTGTCTAAGGCAATATAGGTGCGACAAACTCCAGCAGCCAAGAAAAAAGGATCGTAGGTTCTGTGAGGCTTAAGAGAGCCTATGAAGGAAACGGTTGAGGATAAGCAGTGAACAAGGTGAACCGAGTATATCTATATCTAGCATAGGGGAGTATTCAATTGCTCCCATAGAAATGGGGACACGCGGGACAGGCGAGGCGTCGAATGAGATCTATAAAGAGCGCAGAAGGGATTGGAGTTTGTTTAAAACTCAGCTTACTGCTGCAAGCTGCCCAATAATAGGCGTGTCAAATGACCTTCCGAAGGCCGGCGCTGCAAAGCGGACCAAATTGAGAACAAAGGTATACTTCCTCGCTTTATTCCCATGCAAATCACCTAGTCTAAAGAATGCTCTGAAGAACGCAAATCTTTGATGCAAGAGACTGTGCACGAAAGTGAAAGCTGAATTTGCTAGGTGCTATGTATATTATGTAAGAAGAGCCTCAAAGGAAGAAGTCTGAATACGCTGTTGCGCGAACTACGCTAAGTAGTTCGTGCGACAGCGGGCAATGATTAAAGTGGTCGTACAAAATTTTTTTGCAAAGGGTGCCCGAAACAATTGCAACAATTTCTATGCAACAAAGGGAATATGCTAAAGAAAAAAATCTTCTACTGAAATTGAAGGTGTCAGCTTAAGCCACGCGTACGACCCGCAGGCCTAAACTATTCCTCTTCCAGCATTCCAGCCCACGACCTGCGATGCGGTCTTAGGTTTCCTGTGTAAAGAAACATAACGACCTCTTAGTCAATCGTCAAATGCGGCCTATTGCATAGATAATTGTGAGCGGTATGTGAATAATAGAAATATCACTGACCAGCGTGGCAAACACGATCGATGCGCAGAATGGACGATTGCTGAAGAGCGTATCGCGATAGGGTGGCCCTTTCGAGTAAACAACAACCAAAGTAATGTACTGGAACACGGATACGTAGAACACAGCCGTACCCTGAAAATGGTTGCAGTATCGGATTCTCCAACAATATAACTAGGCAACCTTGTAGCACCCACTGAGAGTGGAGCCATTCAATCCTGATATATTTTACACTCAACGAGTTGAGGCTGATAAATTAGTGAGAGAATTGGTATGGCTATCACAATACCAACCTTATGGAAGAAACAATAATCGGAATTAAATAATCACGCTCAGTGATCCCTCGTCGAATGGCACTCCCAATTACTTTCATATTTCAATCAAAATGCAAACGATGAGGATAGATTTTGATTTGGTTGTAGCAGAGTCACAAGGACCTATATACTAGAAGAACGAACGATAGGACAAAGAATCGTTTTCTAATAATCACTTATATAATTATTTATCATCCCTATAAACTACTAGGCTTACAATAACCCCCTTAGTCCGGAGCTGGCCAAATTAAGAGACAAACGCAACTGAGCTGAGTATTGCACAGAAAGAGAAGCCTCTTTCACTTCTAACTGTCTCCTTCTACACATGAAGGCGTGCTTTATTCCGAAGACTTGAGAACTTTACTCCCAGAGATCCATCAAATATCCGAGGCACACCGGGCTACATCATTTCCCGCCAATTACGCACCTGGTAAACTAATTCTAAATTAGAACGATAACAGAGCTAACGTTTGGAGATAGATGAAGCCACAGGACAGCGAGATGAGCAAAAACTAATAAATTTTTATGAGTTAGGTTTAAAAGAAGAGGCCCCACAGAGGTCATTCGGCCCATCGCCATGGCAAACATTCACGAAGAAACAAAAGACAAGTTAATTATGTTCAAAAACTTTAGTACTCAAGAAGAAAAACTAAGTAACAATAATACAAAAATGGAATCATGGGAAAGTACATGCCTGCATGCTTCTCTTGTCTTCAGCCTCAGCTCCTCGCGGTGCATTGTAGGGAACAAACCAAGGCTGTTTGGTTGTCAGCAAGAAGACAATCAGCTGAAAGGATGCATTTAGCGATTAACTACTGACGATCTAAAAAGGTCTATTCGACCTTTGGAAAACCACATATAATGGCTCACTAGAGTTCGAAAGACGAATGTAAAACCATTGATCCGAAAACTACTGATTCCCGAGAAATAATTTTCTAAACAACCCTTCCCCACAATACATAGCGGGGCGATGAAGCTGGAAAGGAACAGACCCGCGTTGTGAACAAGCCCTTTACGTATCCGTTCATTGCCGTTGCCTTCGCAGCCTAGAAACTAGACCTGGTCATCGTGTCATTCACATTCGATGTTTAGGAGGTGGCGGGTCTTCACACGAGTACTGAACCCAGATTTGATGGGAAGACTACAATTTGAACCGACCAATACCCGAGCGCATCAGAAATAAGGCTAATCACCCATCGGAAGACATCATGACACGAAACCAGCTTTTACTATGCATATCTATCTGCATATCTGTGTCTCATTAACTGTCAGTTAAAGTATGAAAGATGATTCAAAATTAGTCGTTCTATGACCAACTAGAAGAAATCACCTGAGTTCCGCCCATGATAGCCAGTTGTCCTAATACACTGCAAATGCTTGCAATTGACAAAAGCCGTGTTGGTGGAGGAGTTGGACAAAGTTTGTCATATGCTGATGTGTTTCCGAACAGGACTGCCAGCAATGTTATCAGAAACATATCAATATACATGAACTGAAAGGGCAAAACTTATGAAAACAAAAGAAGAAGACACAGATTTCTTAATACCTGTCCATCAGTAAGTATATTAGAAATGTAATAGAGAAGCATCACAGTGACAAACTGCGTTAGTGAATACCCAGCCATGTATTTGAATATTCCAAAAGAAGTCACCAAAGCAGCTCGTCCCTCACTGATTACAGTGGGCACACAACGAATATCCGCGACCTGAACACACATGTATCATTCCTGAAGAAGAAATCCACAAATGAACTAACTTTTGAAGTGAACGGAGCCGCTATGGAAGCTTCAGCGTCGGAAAGAGAAATTCCAGCGTGTGCAGCCTGGAACAAACTTAGATTTACTAACTATAACAACAATATGTAAGAGTTACCTTCAAGGCTGCGCAGTCGTTAGCGCCGTCCCCGCACATAGCGACTGTATATCCGACTTCCTGGAGGCCGTTGACCAGTTGCTGTTTCTGATCAGGAGCCATTCGAGCGAATACGTCGCAAACACATACCAACGACGACAGGACATCAGGATACTCATGGGTGATGACAGCGAATGTTGGCCCTACAATTGACATTAACTTATTGATGTTGCATACATCAATTTTCAAAAAAGGCGGTGTGTTTCCTAACACGAGCCTATTTTGGTAAATTCCCTTGAATGCGCAGATCAGCGACCTCTACACATACTAATGCGTAAATTCGATGGACACAACAAATGAAAAGTGCTGCAGGCACTCTAACGCATGCTTCAGTTACCCAATTATGACCAATTGACCAGTTGGGCTGCGCACACTAATGGGTGCATCACATAAACAACGCTTTGAATCACTCATGAACTTCTGTAAAGAGCACTTCCTCGGGAGCACGCCCCGCCTATGGTAGGAATAGCTTCGGCTGATCCAGGAATGGCCAGCCACATACCTTAGACATTGCCTTCTCCAACAACTTTTTTTTTCCTGGGCATGGTAGAGCGAACTTTCGAATCACTTGATAAACTCTAGCCACTGTGAGGACGCTCTATCCGCCAAGGAAGGAGTACAGATAGGTTTCCTTCGCTCTATTCGGTGAGCCATTTCTCACCTTTCCTCACTTTTTCTCGGTGTCTAGACTTTCCAAAACAGGGGGCTTTGTCCTCAACGATGCATGCCCTGCCACATAGGCAGAGCTCTACTGATCCTGCCGCAAGCCCCACACATCTCGATTTTAACCAAACTGTCCCGGTGCTTTCTGGCTGCTTTCATACTTCGACGAGCACGCCGAGCGCAGTTGGAGACGCCCGTACATTTAGGAAGCGGCGTGCGATCGGCTATGCGACGGCGGCCCTATCCAAGCGTGTGACAGCAGCCATCCTCGATTTGCGGTATCGATCGGTACCTGCTGCTGTCACACGCTCGGATAGGGCCGCCCTCGCATAGCCGCTCGCAAGCCGCTTCCTAAATGTACAGGCGTCTCCAACAGCGTGCCGGCACACACGTCGAAGTATGAAAGCAGCCTCTCAGATCATACCGAATTTTATGAGGAAACGACAAACGCGAGCAGATTATCCTTGGTAGGGGTAAAAATAACCTCTCTTGAAAAAAGTAATACAAGGAGTTTATCGTACATGTTTTTAAATCACCTGATATCGCAAGATGGTAGCTGCTCTGAATCAGTTTTCCAAGTTCGACGTCTGCTCCGGTTTTCAATAAATTTGGGTCGTCTTCCAATATATCACCCGATGAAGAAACGGACTGTAACGCACCAACATGAATTCGGTAGACTTAGTACTTCATAAGAAAGTTAGAAATATTATAATACCTGCTTTACAACTATTTTTGTTCTCCCGCGTGGGTCAACTTCCCCTGGAATATGCTCAATGAGGAAAGCTCGCTTATTCGGCCTTATTATTCCACATTCTCGAGCTACGCTCATGGCTGTGAGCAAATTGTCACCGGTTACCATCACAGTTCTGATACGAGCGCTGAAAGCAAATACCGTTAACCAGTTATGCAAAAAAGATGCCAAAGAAGGGACTAAGACCACTTAACAAAGGTTATTTCGAATCAATGAGCATACCGGTTTAGTTGATTAATGACTCCTAGGGTGACTGGTTTAATACGGTTCTCCATTGCAACCACACCCAAGAGTTCTAGCTGGCATTCCACCTGAAAATATTCACTGCAGCGATGATTTTCCGCCTAACCTCAAGGGCTGAAAACATCTACTGCTAACTTCGCATACTAACAAAACTACTGGAGGAACACGACACTCACATCGCTACTTGAACAATACAAAAAAATGAAACATGAAATTCGATGAGGTGTTTGACATTAAATATCATGGCACTATGAATAAAAATAATGAAATTCGAAACATTTCCCCTCTCCCCACTCATAAGTTAGGATTTATAGCCCTATGGGTCCGTGCCTTCCTGTAACACATATTGCAGAATCACGAGATCCCGAATATTTGGCATAAGATAAAGAATAACCTTGTCTCGAGGCACTTTGACAGCTTTACTGAAGTTAATATTGAGAGAACGCCGAGCCACCGCTATCAACCGAAAGCCATGCTGTGCATATTCGTTAACGACAGCCTGCAATGAGGATTAATTAAGAAAAGGAAATATCATCCGAAGTCTCGAGTAAAACCTATTCTTAAGGCAGGGATGGCCGAAAGGTTTAGAGTGTAGGCTCATGTCTGCACACAGAAATGCAACGAGTTCGATCCCTGCTGCTGCGAAAAGATGGCCCTGCAGTAATTGTAAAATGGTGTCGGTACCAGCTTCAAGCCCAGGTTGACAGACCGGGCGAAGAACCCCGGCACAGCGCATATGCACAATATTCTCAGATGGGCCGTTTGCGATGGTGAGAACGCGAATTGAGGAGGTCATAGAATAATCCAAGAAAGGATGCAATGAAATTCGACTCATGGGTGTCTCAAAGAAGAAATGGCAGGACGTGATAAAGTAGACCTCAACCTCGTTGAAACCAGAACAACGCCGTAGAAAGGAGTGGAGATTGTGACAACAATAGCAGAAACTTCGACGGTGTAGGGTTAACACTAGGGAGGAGGAGTCGAAGAACAAAATAAGAATGGAACTGAATTTCAATGTTTTTCACGAAAATCTGACTTACGGAATAATCCGCAGGAATGGTTGCAGGATCGCACAACGACTCAACCATTTCTGGTGCGCCCTTACAATACAATGTCATCGCATGTGAATCCTTCGAGGGATCGAACACAATCACAGACATACGTTGAAGAGATGAACTATAAATGAATAAGTGTAACGGTAAAAAGAATCCCCAATCTATAAAAAAACCCCATTGCTTTAAAGCAGGAACCATTTGAACGTTAAATTCTGGAAGAAATTCGCTTCTCACTGTTACAAAAAGAGAGCACCAACGTGAATTCGAAAAAAGAAGAACATAGAAAAGAAGTATCCAGAAAACTAGAATAGGACGTAAAACTGAACAGCTACCTGAAAGTGAATTGGCGGATTACAGAGTACTCTTCACAACCGCCTTTACTGTTGTGCGCTGGTGGTTTTACGACAGTAGGCTAAATAGACACATACTCTTGTTCGGGAATAGTAAGTGGAATCGTATGTAAAGCATCAATTTGAGAAGAAAAGAAATGCTTCGATATGATTGCCTTTATTTAAAACATTACCTGGACCATGTCATACATCTCAGTCTCATCATGATCAGTACAATCCGGTCCAGCCTCTTCGAGGATCCACCCGGTTTTTTGGAAAAGTACGAGATCGAGTGGGTCTCCATGTAACACACCATTTATTCTGGAATGGTAAATATACATATATATATTTACAGTACAAATCAAAGGAAAGCTCTGCTCTAAGCGTGAAACTACAATCCATGACGTAGCTATAGCTTCGAACTCTCATTAGGCTACGCTGATCTTGAAAACAAAATCGCAGCTACAAAATAACAGACGAGACGCACCTCGTGAGGGAGTGACATGTGGCAATTGCATTGACGAGCTCTCCTTCCAACGGTAGCTGCATGCGGTCCATATCGCTCGACTCAGTTGTGAAAATCGGCTTGCTAGCTCCATTTGGTGGCACTACTCCTCGAAGTAAGTGGAAATCCAAGCCATCTTCGGTCAGAGTACCAGTTTTATCGAAGCAAACCTGAATGTCAAATGTCCCACACAGTTGTGAAAAAAATGGCGAGGATTCGAATTTGTTAAGTATTTGTTAGCCTATACAGACTTGGAATAAAAAGTACAACAATAAAAAGCAACGCAATCAAACATACAACATTGATTGCTCCACATGTGTTGATCGTAGATGGAGAGATGCAGTAAATTTTCTTTTTCTTCAGTCTGAGTTGTGCATTAATGATTCCGACAGACATAGCCGCTGTAATATTAATTGTATGTAATTAAGCTGGGCCATTTTGGAGAAAACGATAAGCTGACCAGGCAGAGCAGGAGGAACCGTAATTGTGATGATGTCTAACGCACGAATAATTACTCGTCGTAGGCTACTTCCTCTCAGGCACATTATGATAATGGTATAAATGAAACCACAACCAGAAATGCAGCCAAGAAATCCAACAAACTGAAACATTTTCCAATTTCTCGTGACAAAAGTGAGCAGGAAAAGTCCGTTCGTCACGCACCCATACAGCTTATCATGGGAATTATGCTCNGAGACGGTACCACTAATTTCCACAGAACTCACTTTGAATAAATCCTTCGTAAAGCGGAAGTCTACAGGCTTAGGATACATTATCGATCTGACCAGCTGTCCTTTCATAGTGGAAAATCCAGTGCGCAGCACTACGGCCTGAATACAAACAATACTTCTACACGTACCCGAAGTATAAACATCAAACGAAGTAAAACCAACTCCATTATTAACAAGTTCAAAAGAAAGGAACGTAAAAGTTGACTTTCAATGCCATGAATGGTCGCTTACCTTAACTTTCTGACCACGGTAGTATCGAGTCTGAAGTACTTGTGTCCCACAAAATAGTACATGCTTGGAATGCTTCTCGATACAAAAATGTTTCTCCTCCCGAACATCCTCAGTAAGAGCAACCTAGAAAATCTATTTTACACCGTGAAGAGGAAACCCGTAAGGCCCAAAATTTTTGAGAGGCTTGCTGTATAGGGAAGATGAAGCTCAGCACTCCTGATTTACACAAAGTAAGTATAATCATAGAATATTTCTGTTATAATATTACATAAAAATAGATTTCCAACCTTCGTAACTGGGACGGACTCTCCGGTTAGCATGCTCTCATTGACAATAACAGTTCCGTTCATAAGCACTGCGTCACAATGAAGGAGACAACCATGAGGTGGAATCAAAAGTATGTCTCCAGGCACTAACTTCAATAAACTATGTCTCAACAAAGTTCTTATCAAAATATCGACTATAGAACGAGATTGAAAGGAATCCAGAAACAAAAGTATTACCTTCTCACTATCGATTTGAGTAGTAATGCCCCCATTTCTTAGCACCTCCACTTCACTACTTGAATGAACCATTGCTCGCAGCCTAAATGAGGGAATGTGCAAGCCCGTGGTATCATGAATAGATGACAAAAGTTAGTGTCATAAAAAAGGTGTTATTTGTCAAAATGTGATATGTTACCGTTTCTCTTGCCCTCTCGTCTGGAGAACATCCATTATAATAGAACAAATTGACATAATAACAATAACAGAAGCATAATAACAATATTCATCATTATACCAAACAGTGACACTGAAACTCGAAGAATTGAACTTACACAACATAATGTCAGAAAGAAAAACAAAAATAGAACTAACCTAAAAATCTGGAAAATATAAAAAGGTGAAATCACTTCCATAAATAAAAGCATAGGTATAGGTCGAAGTTTTATTTCTATAGAATTTAACCCGTAAGTTGCGAGGCGTTGAGAAACCTTAACAATCGGTTGAAGAATTTTAAATTAGTTGTAAGTATCGAAGTGACTACAAACCATTACCTCATGGTCGTTGAAACCAGTTCCCTTCTTAATAACATCATGGAACACATGGGAAGGACACTGCAAAGAAATAAAACTTTTAATAAAACTCATAGACGTCGATTTTTCAGTTTTTCCTACTACAGTTCATCAGTGCTCTTTCAATTTTACCGTACGCACAGACTCAACTGTTTTGCAGTCATACTCCAGAGCCTGAGAGACTCTCAGTGGAAGAAAATTACATTACCCTAACACCTAACCCCTTTCCCTTTTCAGCTAATTCTCAGCGAGTACTGAATGGGTAATTATTCATCGCGGTAATTATTTCGACTGGCTTGATCAAAAGATTCGTTTCGTCCGAATCAAAGTTTAGCGAAATTCTAACTTGAACTATCCGACAAATTGAAAGGTACCATGAAAGTTCTCTAAGAATAGTTGCCGACGAAGCGCCACTGTCCATTGCTGAGAACTAGGTTTTTAGCTAGCCAAAAAAGCTTTGCCTTGATACCTATGTTTGGTGACAAGAAATTATGATTGATGATCAACTTTGCTCAATGGCACCATATTATCAGGAAGGCAATGTTGACTTTACGAAGGCAATGTTTCAACATCAATTCCGTGAGACGTTTTGTCCTTTCATAGCCACTGAGCAAAATTTTGCAGAATCCCAAGCGTAAAGAAGAAACAGGAACAAAAAACACATAGAAATACTGTTGTTACCACTCAGAAAAACTAGAAGCAAAGAATTCAATCAGAAAAAACCAGAATGAATCACTAACCTGACTAATGACATCACCCGGCGTCACCCAATGTCCATCTCTTTCATCATCAAGATCAACAATCTTTTTCACTTTCTCGACCCAAATGTAGACCAGCTTTCGATAAACGAACCATCTCACTTCATCAACTTCTCGCATTGATCCATCTTCGTGAGGTACTAGCTTAAGAAAAAGACATAATGAGATTTTTCATCACGCAATGTCAAAGCAACGTAACTCTTGAACATAATCGAGATAAGTCAAATTACAACAAACACAAACTCATTAATTCAATCAATACTATCCGATGCTCCCAGGTTCCGAGTTATCTCTGAGAGACGTCTACTACATTAGTGTCTTATCAACATGTCTTTTTCTTCGTTTGAAAAAAGCTTTATGATAAGTAGCCAACGAATGCAGTAGATGTAATATAATGGCAACGTATGGATGTTTCAGTGGATGTGAACGAATCCACCAGGATTTGGAGGGTCACATGCTTAGAAACAAGGTTGGGATGATTCAGACCAACTTAAGCTACTGAAACAGATTTTTATTTTACTTTATTAAAAGACGTGAAAATAGATGCTGTTGTGTAGCCTTTTGAGCGCAACTAACTGAGAAAAAAGCAGCATAAAAAGGAAATGAAATGAAATGAAATGAAAATGTTTTTCGGCTTTCAGGCTCTGAAGAAGGCGAAGAGGCCGAAACGTAAGCTGTATAAATTTGTGAATCTCGGAAAGGCTCAAAACATCTCAAGTGACAAGTTCAACTATGCCGAGATTAAGAGAAAGTCGTACATGGTCCATTCTACGAAATGAAATGAATCTTGCAGAATAATATACATACCATTTGGACACAATCTCATTCATATCCATAAAACTTATCGCAAGGGATCCTATTAATAAGTTGAATATTCCTTACGAATTCCTATTCCTTCCATGTTTTTTCATTTTAGTTTAAATGTTTCAAAGCATTACTGTGATGGATAACGTGAAAAAGCCCACCAAAGGAGGTCCGTGAAAAGTTCTACGAGTAGTTTTAATTGGATGAAATTCTTCGACATTATGATCATCCCTAAAATAGAATTTTCGTAAAATACAGGCCACCATGAATTCGAGTGATCACTCAAAATGTTAAGTTTGAACTTAACTAGGAACCTATAATATTTACGATAGACAAACTTACACGATATATACAAAATCAGCAAAGGCAAAAGTAGATCGTGTGGCACGGAATCGGATATGCCATTTTTGTTTCCAATGAAGAACTAAGCGAAAAAGCCCCAAGGTTAANGATGAAATTCTTCGACATTATGATCATCCCTAAAATAGGATTTTCGTAAAATACAGGCCATCATGAATTTAAGTGACCACCCAAAACGTTAAGTTGAACTTAATTAGGAACCTATTTCGAATGATAAACTTACACGATATATACAAAATCAGCAAAGGCAAATGTAGATCGTGTGGCACGGAATCGGATATGCCATTTTTGTTTCCAATGAAGAACTAAGCGAAAAAGCCCCAAGGTTAATATGGATAATATGTAAAACAAACCCTGAAAAGACAACAATCCAACCAAAAGAAAGGACCAGTTTCTTAATGTTCCCTAGCTAAACGGTCAAGGCACTCACCGTTCTTAACGAATTCGATTTATACGCATATAAATGGAGTAAATGCTCTCCAGACTCGAGAGTCAAATGGTGGCGACGACCGCCACCTCCCTCTCCCATGCCCTAATTGTCGACGGTTCAACAACTCCCTAAAGAAAAAAAAATTATTGATTTTACAAGTAAAACAAATAATTTATTAGAAGGTAAACTCCAATGATAAAGAAAATACTTAAAAAGCTCGTAGAATGATGAAGGAATGATTCGAAGAAAGAAAAACGGCAGAATTGAAAGAAACATTGAATTACTGCCACAATCAACTAAAACTGCGACTAGGAGAATGCTTCTGCTGTACTTGGCATTACAATGCCCACGAAAACCGGAATGAGCAATAGAAGAAGACTGAAATAGCGACGCCTAAAATATCGAGAAAGCTCAGTGAAGCTGCCCCGACATCATCCAATTATTGTCTGCATCTCTAATCTACGGTCAAGAGCGCAGACGAGAGAGTTCCCCGAAAAGGGAGGAGGAAACGAAATTGTGAGAAAACAAAACGGATGGTAGCCTCCAAGGGTATGGGGGTATTTCAAAGCTGTTCCAGGCGAAGCTGTAGTCGGTGGCATCCTAATGAGGGTGCGCAGGCAAGAACAGAGCTCACCACATGAAACATTAATCCTAGCAAGTTGCCTCGGCAGCCAGGAAAAGACTCGTCCGGGAGCGATAGGAATTTTGTTCAGTTCCGAGTGGGTGTTGTGCAATTCCTGTTCAAACATGTGAAATCACGCCCACACCTGCGATTCGTCATTGCTTCCCACTAGAACAAAAATTCAATAGCTACACCCAGACACTACGTTGACAGCTGCCGCCGGCGTCGGATGTCCGTGGGCCACGCCCAGCTTGAGGTGAATCGATGCTGATGGATTTAATTGCGAAGGGGGCGTGGCCAAAAGAACTCGGTCGTCGGTCATGAGGTGCCACTAAGTCTGAATGTAACCAATTTGGATCGAATCCCTAATTTTTCAAATTCAAGTTAGTGAAAAGAAATAGAGTAATGGAGTAGTGTTGCGTGACAACTAGCCACTTAAGATTGGGGACAGATATCGGTCCAAAACTCATGTAAATCAGCCGACATTTAAATTTCTTCGTGGCCGGCTAATTTTTGTCCGACTCGTTTGGTAGGATAGTAGCCCGACTTTTACAGGCTTATCGCCCCAGTCACATACGCGTTCAACGCAACAATGATCTTAAATGAAAGTTGGATGCGGAGCGCACTCGAGAACGGGATTGTTCGGTGCTAAAATTCTCGCATCTTTCCTATCACCGGTAGTGGCCATTAAAATAACTTCCGTAAGAGAAGGTGCCTTGTCTGCGATTTCTCCACGTCCTCTGCATCCTAATTCGCGACTACTAACAGTGTTTGAAAGCGGGGGACGTGCGATTCGTGCGATTCTGGGTGCGCGCGGCGAAATTCGCGATGATTCAAAGAACTCCGGCGCCTATCACAGGGGCACAAACATTAAAGTAGAGTACTTTAGTAGGTTCGGACAATCCTACTAACCTAGTTTACATCGAATTTGGACCCCAATGATAAACGTATAGTCGTCCAAATCGCACCGATTTTTGCCGCGCAATTCGCCGCGCGCACCCAGAATCGCACGAATCGGGGGGACGGAACTTACGTGCGTCCGAGGTTGCGCGCGGCAAATTGCGCGGCGAAGTGCGTGGTGATTCGAATGACTCTGGCG